TATATATATATATATATATATATATATTATGTAAGACAATTTTATTATTACTAACGAAATTAACTATTTTTTTAATTTTGATAAATTAAGAAATTAAATCTTAAATAAAAGAATAGAGATAGTGAAATTTATATTAATCTAGAATTCAATAATTATGATATACACTCCCATACTTTATCATTCCTTTTCTCCTTAGACCCTCACCATCGCTAATGATGGCAACGATAACATCCCAATTGTTTCACTTCCATTCTTCTCTCCCCCAATCAAACAAAGTCACCATGCTCGATCAGGGTAGATTCGTGCTCACACGTAGTAACTACATGCGATGTCCCTTCATTCATCGAACCAGATATAAACTCAGGCATCTCTTAGGAAGAAGTGGAAAAGAAGGAAACCAAAGCGGTGCAACAGATTTGGGTTGTGCACCTTCATTATGTGAATTATAAATTTTTCTCTCACAGTGGCACACGATAGACAACAGTTTCTGACATGGTAGTTGGTGGCTGTGAGATGAAATGTTAAGATAAAAGTGTGGAGGATGCACCATAACATGTCTCATTAATAAAAGTTAGTAGTGCAAGATAGCTACCTATAAAGATGATCCATCTTAACCTTCCTCTTGTAAGAAATATGTTAGAAAATATATTATAAAGAGGTATTTACAAATTGAAAATTTCTAACATGAAATAATAAAAAATATTTCTCATGGATGAATCATTAATTAATTTTAACCGTTGGATATATTAATAAAAAAAATCAACGCATGAGATTGAAGGAAATTGAAGGTAAGCAACCCACATAACCAGTAAACTTATCCCCGTTGAACATGCAGCGGTGTCACCGTGACCGCACACAAAGCAGCGTCACCGTGGCCGTACGCGCAGTAGCGTCACCATGATCGCGCGGTGTCACCGTGACCGCACACAAAGCAGCGTCACCGTGGCGCACGCGCAGTAGCATCACCATGATCGCACGGTCGCAACCATAACGTCACTGTCACCACACTGCACTCGTAGTATCACCATCGTCACACTTTAGTGTCACCATGATCACACGGTCGCACCCGTAGCATCACCATTGTCACACCGTGCTCGTGGCGTCACCATCGCTGCACCGCACCTATGGTACCACTGTGGCTCTCAAATTTTTTGTGATTTTTTTTATATTTTTTCAGTTAAAAATTTCTTATTCCCAATCATTTTAGTGCCTCAGACGTACCATATTTTCACCTACTTCACGTTAGAAACATTCTTACAAATTGAAATTGATTAATTTTAAAGAAAAATTTATAATTCAATCACTTTAATTTTATTATTTGATTCCAATTAGTTTGATTTTATAATTAAATTTAATCTCGCCAATCTAATTTGGAATTTTTATTTTGAAAGTCTTAAATTATTAAAAATGTAGTAAAATAAACAAATTGATATAACATCAAACATCACATCACATTTAAGTGCATAAAGAAATTGTCTAAACAAATCCCAAACAACAAATTCTTTTTTCTTAGTAATAAAATAATAGATAGGAGATGATACTTATAAGAGTACGAGATAGAGTTAATGACATAGTTAAGGAATATTCTTATCATAAAAAACATATGCTTGAACTGCATTCTAGACTATTTATCTTAACTCACAATGACAACCAAACAACAAATTACTAACTCATTAAAATTCTTGAATAAATAAAAATATAACTAATTATTAAATAATTCTAAATACATAACAAAATTCTGTTTAATTTAAATTAATTTTCAGCATAAAATCCAAAATCTGATCTAGTCAGATAAAAAAATAATCATCAACTTTTCCAGTTTCAATAAATTTTTCAGGTCAAATGTCGGGCAGTATATTAGAATGTAACCCCTACTTGCTAGCATTCCTCTACTTTAATTTACCTGCGGAGAAGTTCATCTACAGTCATACTCTAATCATGTGCAATACAGACCTTCAATATAATTCCCTTAGAGCTTTTTAGAATTTTATCCCGATAAAATTCTCAATAAAAGCTCAAATTATATTAGAAGACAAAACTTAATACCTAAATGAAAATTCTGTTCTGCAGATCTCGATAAAAATAAATAAACAATTAATTAAAATCTCACCGACCTAACCCACCAAAGCTTAGTTTGAAAAAAGAGTCAAGTTCAGAAGAGAAATAAACTTGTATATTGCTAATATTTTTAACATGCTTAATACATAATCAAAATATTTTTTTGCATACAACTAAAATTCATAATAAATTATATAAATAAATATTATATTTAAATATATCAATCAGTTAGAATTTTTAAAAATAAATATCTTTATGCGTATAAATAATATTGTAAATTTATAATAAATAATTTATATTACAACAAAATATTATTTTTAATTTTGATAATTTATTTTAAAAATATTAAAATTTAATTAATTAATAATTGTGGAAAATAAAAACTAAATTTGATAAAAAAATAAATAAAAAATAAATTCCTTAAAAACTCTTTCAACAAATAAAAACTACTTGGTCCAACATAACCCAAAACAGATCCAGTTAACCAACTAATAACTCACATTTTTGGAAATAGCGCCCTAGTCATTAAAGCCCGGTATTAATGACCGACACGGCATAGACAAACATTGAAATCTGGAAAACCTAACCTCACTCAAAGGAAGTTTGAAATATTACACATTTTCACCTCCCACGGCACCGAGGCATATATTCGAAGGCCTTTTCTATTAATCAATTAATGTATCCGTTTCAGACATGCAAATATAACAGCAAGTCGAACTAGAAATAAAGTACATCATCTAAAATTCAAAACATTGTAATAGCACCAGAAGGAACAAGGTTAAAGGCCTAAATAAGATACCAAATCACAGGCAAAATATCACTATTACTGCCTTGATCTTGATTCGGCCCGTCTAGCTTCATCTGGTGTAGACGGAAAGAGCTCCACATACCTTGATCCTATGGTCATTTTATCCTTGGACATTGCCCTCTTAGCCTCCTCAGTAGAAACAAACTCCACATATGCCTCTCCAGTAGCTTTCCCATCAGGGCGACACGCAATGTGTACCCTATCTTCTATCAGCTTGAAATCTTTAAAGAACTCAACAATTTGAGATTTTGTCACTTGGAATGGAAGTCCACGCATCTTCAATATCTCAGTGTACTCCATTTGGTCTTTATCATTGAACCTCTTTGACCGGGACGGTGGAGGGCTACTACCATGGTAATCGGTATCATATATTCCTTCATAATTAATCTCAGAAGCAACAGCATTATAATAATCCTGCTTCTTACACCTGAACACTTCCACATATCTGCGGCCCATGTTCTGGCGATCTCTCTGCAGCGCAAACTCAACCTGCATTGCTCCTGCAAAGACTACAAAGGCCTCGCCTGAGAACCGGCCACTCTTGTTGACCAGCAACACATCCACAATGGTCAATCCAGCAAAGAACTTCAAGATGTCAATGTCAGTGCAGTTGAATGGAAGCCCCCTGAGACGAACCACAGGAAAGGGAGGGGGCTGGAAGCCACCGGCATATCCATAAGGTAAGCTGCCTGTCCCGCTGCTCACTGCGAAGTATGGATTGGATTCCATCATTCTTTGTCTCTTTGAGCCAACCTCGTACCCGTCCGAAACCCCCCCGCTTCCCAACATTGCCCTTCAATTTTCCATACCCAAAAAAAAATCCCCCACTCAACATGTTAATAAAGCCAAACCCAACCCTCTTCTCCCTGACACTCAATTTTAATTCCTATTCTCATAAATTTATGATATTCACACAACTCCCACAACCAAACAATATAGAAAGAAAATAACAAGATATAAACCAGACCACCTATAACAACAGAGAGTACCACACATGGACCACAAGCATATAGTTTTATCCAAGACACAATCCATTAAGCCAAACATATATAACAAACATCAAAGAGAGAAATTTTATACAAATTACAAACGAAGCAACCCAAGTTTGTGGAGCAATTTCCCTAATCTACACTACACAATTCAAAAGGTTGATTGTTTTAAGGTTAAACTATTCACTTGATCACTATAAATGTCCCCTTTTAAGTTTTAGTCCTTATACAGAAAAAAAAAAAAAAAAAAAAAAAAAAAAAAAAAAAAAAAGGTTTTAGTCCCTACACAATTTTTTGTAGCAGCTTATCATCGCCAGAAAGTTTTTGTAGCAGTTTTCTAGAAGTCATTCTCTTTTATTAGCACTAGGTACTAAAACTTAACTATAATGCATGTAAATGAACCAAAACTTACAATTCTCTCATGTAGAGACCAAAACTTGACAACTATAGAGACCAAGTGAATAGTTTAACCATTAATTAATTAAAGAACCACATAAATGCAATACAAGCAAAAAAGTTGCGTAACAAAACATTACTAACCATAGTCACGAGGTTCAAAGAAAATTAAACATTCTCACAGACACTCCGTATTTTCTCAGTCATATTCATTGGATATGTAAGAGCCCCATAACATCACATAATATATAATAAACATTCAAAACCCCACAAAATTAAGAAACAAAACAATCAGAAAACATTTTCCCAGCCTGGGACCCCGTGAATATTTCGTTTCCCCAATCCACATGAAAAAAAAAACAAATAAATATAAATTCATACAATAAACAACCCCAATCACCACATAATTAAAACACACGCTAAAGACAAATGCTAAACTCAAACCAATCTAGACGGACACACAATTCCTAATGATACGCATCACCGCACAGGAGTGAAACCCCAACCAAAAAAAAAAAAAAAAAAAAAAAAAAAAAAAAAAA